ATTAAATCATTGGCCATTGGTGATTGAGCCAAGCTCCAGCTTTCTCCTCTCCCGGGAGGTCAGGGAGTACAACTGAAAGTTCCCAGGCTCTAATCACAGGGTTGCCTCTGCTGGCAAGCAGCCCCCCGTCTTTAGGTGTTCCTCAATAGTCACCTCATTAACATAACAAAATACATATTTATCAATCTCATCCATTACAAAATTCCAAGGGTTTAGGAACTCGGTGCCAGAAACAGGACACCATGATCGCAGGAAACTTTTATTCACAGGTGTATCTATCTCAAGCACATAGACTAGTTTCTGGAACATAAATATTGGTTGAATGATTGATCCCTTGTAAATACAGGCTGGAGAGTTGGCTATTCATCACTGCTTCCAAGGTTTAGATTTCCAGATCAGATTTTCGAAAGAATATACTTATTTAGATTTCTTCATGATTTACTGGCTCAGCATATACACTGTGCTGGTAATAGTGCATAATAATAAAATAACTGGTAATACTTTTCTAAGAAGTTACAAAAATATTTTATTTGGATTTTGTGAATTTGCCAAAAAAAGTCAAAGACAGATGCTTTATACTCAGCGTTTTTCTCTGAATTTCAAGATCCTTTTGAGGTTTGTGACTGCTAAAAAGGATGCCAGACCATTTCAGGGTTGACTCTAAACTATTTAATACAGGTTGACGAGCTGGAGCTCCCGAACCTCAACCTCTAAAGCACAGGTGTTCCACTAGAAACAGAATGGTCCTGTAGCAGCCACCGTTGGCCAGGCTTTCATAAGTACTGACTTTGGAATTGAAAGGTGAGGGGAGTAAATGCAAAGTTAAGCCTTGCAATAAAGGTTGGTTTGAAATCAAAGAGTTTCTTGTGGACCAAATGGCACCGACACAAATGTGTGTCTCCTTCAGAGGTCCTGTTTGTGCTGTCTTCATGTGGAAAATGTATCCTCAGCCTTCCTGGCAGCCAGCTGGCCGTCAGGTGGAGTGAGCATCTGTTTTACCGGTAGCCGATCTCAGGTTTACATTCTTTTCAGGCGAAGCCCGAGCAGCGGTGATGCTGCAAAAGTACTCAACTCTTCCTTTAGGTTTTGGGGCAGAGAGAGAGAGAGAGAATTGCCATTTCTCTGTACGAGCCTGTATTTAAGTTGAACTGGAGCCTTAAATGTCTGTCTTGGCAAGCTCGTCCCTTCTGAAATCGGGTTCAATCCAATTCAAACTCGGCACTGTGGAGATTGGCAGCAGGGCTCCCTCCTGGGGCTTCAGGCATCGCAGGCTCAGAAACTTGCTACCTGTTCCACGGTGGAATTTTCAGCCAGGAAAGATCTGGACATTGAATGTTGTTCTTGGCTCAGGGTGGTATGAACCCCCTTATTCCAGGGGAAGGTAGGAAAACAAATCAGTCAACAGCAGCATAGAAAAAAAGGCGGGGGCACCGGCAGAGCAACAGTTGTCGAAGATCTGGCTTGGAGGAAATTAGCAATAAAGAAGAGGCACTATAGTTAAGAATCTGATTTTTTTTTAAATGCAATTTGCGTGCATATTTTATTAAACCTCCTTCATTTGGGTTAAGCCTTACAAGTAAAACAAAATTCCTTTTTTCATCACTTTTAAAGATGGCGGTGTCCCCTCATTACTACGAAGCCTGGCCTCAGGACCAGCACATGCCCCAGTTTGTCTAAACCAAGAGACATTCTTGATCAAGCTCACCAACCATAGTTCTTAGTAGTATTCACTTTGCACATTTAGAGTAGGAATTAGGATAAGAAAGGAAAGGATTGTATTCTGGGCAAAGGGCGGCTTTAAAGACCTGCTTGAGAACCGAGCGTGATCTTGGTCACCTGCAAGGTCCTGATTGAACCCTGGAGGTAATCCATGCCTGGAGATGAGAACAGGCTGTGGTCACAGCATTACGCTGCCCGTGTAGGTCTTGTAGCAAGTGCTCCCTACTCCCACCCAGCCATGACAAGAGGGGCTGGCACCAGGCTTTTGTACAGTAGCTCCCACGTGGCCCCTTGGGCTGAGGGAGTGTTACCTCTTAGGACCCTGGAAGAAGTCAGGCTGACCAGAGGATGTGATAAACCAGCAGTTACAGTGAGTACAGCTGTCTGTCCTGTAATGTGGCATATGCATTCCTAAAGCAAAATAACTCGTGCGTGATGGAACGTTGCGCTCCAAAAATAACAGGGCTTATGGGAAAAATGGAGTTGGGGCAGAAAACTCAAACCTTGTGCCGTCTTGTAAGCAATACAAGAAAACTGCCATGATTTTAAACACCCTTAAGTTCCTAATAAAGAAACATGATAGCAAATATAGAATGTTATTTTGACAAGGCATAAGCCAGCTTGGTAGAGGTGTTCGTAGTGAAGAGTTGTGGCTTTTGAGCTGTGGAGAATAGGTGGAACGAAGATTACAGTTTTTTCAATGAAACGGGATACCGGAGGTAGATGGCTGTGGTGTATTGTCCTGTTTTTTTGTTCCTCTGAACTGGCTTAAAACAGAAATCCAACTTTTATTGCTTTGTGAGTTACCCCCTCTCATAAAGAAGCAGTTTGTATGGCCCCAGATGAAATCAGATGACGCCAGTTGGTCGCATGCTGCATGAGGTTTGTAGTTAACTTCAGCTCACTGCAAATGAGTGCTTGGCAGATTTCAGTTCCCCAGGAAAGCAGGTGGTTATTGGGAAGTTAAGATTAAGCTCTGGTTTCGTTTTCAGTGTTTCTCTTATATTCATCAATGTGATTACTTTAGGCTCACTGGCCATTGCAATAGCCCATTTTCTCTTGTTTCAAAACTTCTCAAGCTTGAAGCTTTTCGTTTTTCCTTTGCTCCATATAATCAGGACGTTTCCTAAGGTTTTGCTGAGAAAATGCAGCGGATGATGCGCTTGGGTAAAATAGAGAGCTAGGTGTTTTGTATTATTCTTCCACAGACCATTATGCTCAGCTGGATGTTTTTCACATTTAGGTGTTACCCAATAGTGCAACACAGGCACCTGGTGAAAAAATCTGTGTATGAATAAATACGATTTTGGTTTTAGTGATTTAATTCCTTAAACTGCAATAATTTTCACATTACAAACATACATAGCAACAGAATACATATATTGGCTTTTTTCCCCTCCTTCCCATCCGGCTCTTGAAATAGTTTCCTTCTTTTTCTGAAAGAATTCTGACTTTTTAAAGTTCTCTTGTTTCTTCTATTCATTTTAATAGGAGCTGTGATCCTATTGGTCCAGCCGCTCTTCCTCCTTTAGGTTATTGGGTCCCCTACAGCGAGCTGTGATTTTATTTGGCTCCTTATGTTCTCTTAGGGCTTAGGCTATGCTCAGGTCATTGTTAAAATCTCAAGCAATGGCAAATGGACAGGCTGTGGAAGGTCAAATACCTGCTGCTTCTGAGGCCAGTTAACTTGGTGCAAAAGCCTTTTTGCTCTGGTTCTCTGAGCACAGAGTGAAATTAGCTCCTAACGGCAAAGGGCACCTCCGTCTACCAATAAGGCCCATTTAGGTCTAATGGGTCTGTGGGGTCAGGCAGCCCCTCCCCCACCTAGGGGGCTCTCACGCAGCAAGTGAGGCTCATGGTGATTGGTCTCAATATTCTGATGGAATGTTTAATAATATGATGACTGGGCTCAATCTTCTTACAGAGCATGTTGTTATGACCTCAGCTCCTCAAATCCTGCTGTTAGAAACAAGGACTCTTCCATAAGCCTTTCTTAAGAAAGACACATGTGCCTGGCATCGTTCTAGGGACTGAGGATACGAGACCAAAACCCCTCCCCGTGGAAGCTGCTGCATCATGAGCTGGGGCTTATTTCACACTGGCTCACACCTAAGATCATTACGTCTAAGGGGTGGAGCTGCGTTTTGGTCCCGTGGTTTAAAATCTAACTGCCGCTCCATAGTGAATGGTAGCTGGTGCCCTGTACCAGGTTATGCTTGCTTCATTACAGAATCTGTGATACAGAAACATAAATGCTTGCTTTTTCTCATCAAGCAGTGGCTGAGTCTGTGGGATTTTGAGCCAATCAGCCTGGATTCAGGTCCTGGTCTTACCACTCAGCAGTTCTGAGACCTCGGTCAAGTTACTTCTTGGTGCCTCAGTGTGTCCATTCCTAAAAGGGGGGCGTAACATTGCGTACGTGATAGGGTTGACGTATGAGTTAAATGAATGTATTTCTATAAAGTGGTTGTGCCTGGCACATTGGCAGGTGCTACGAGCAACGCTTCAGATTTAATGCCAGTTCCTATAACATGCTCACATCGTAGGGCACACCTTGTTACGTCGCACCTCTGACACCAGGGACCCTTATTTACAAGTCTGTCCACAGCTCCTTTCCACCCTGCAGACTATGCTCTTTGGTGGGCATGTGTCAGGGGAACACGTGTGATTTCTGTTTGCCCAACGCCTAGCACTGTGGCAGATAGCAGGCACTCCATACATGTTTGCTGAATGAATGGGAAAGGCAGCTGGGAATTTACTGATTGGCTAGGGCAAGGGAAGGGAAAAAGAAAAAACTACCATAAAAATGGCGGCTCAGCATCTTAATCTTTAGAGAAGAAATTTTGCTAGGTGATCGCAGCAGCCCAATCTAAGGGCCCAGCACAGAAGTAGATAGGGGCCAGCAGGAGATACGGAGAGGCAGGCAGACATCACACAGGGGTCTGCAGACAGCGTCACAGGGGACCGGGGGTTTCTAGGGAGCAGGTAGGCATTATTTTGTTATTGTGGTGTCATGGAAACTGAAAGGCGATATGGGTAAAGATGATAGCAGTTTGCACATACCTCAGGGCAAACCTCACCCTGCTGAGCGGGAGGATAAGCTTAGATGGATGAGAGGTTAGATAGTGTCACTGGAAGGAAAAGTGAAGGTGGGGCTCACCTTCCCAGGTGGCAAGAACAGGAACTGGAAGCTTGAGGAAATCTGCACGGATGGGCACTGGTTGGCAACTTAAACTACAATGCGACCTAGGGCTTGTTGTCTCATTAAATGCAAAACTGAATAGTTAACCAAGTAAGAAATTTTATTCTTATCACTATTTGTAACATTCAAATCAGATTACATAATAAAGCAGTGTATTTTATTGCAATGTCCTGTCGAAGGAAGGTCCCTTCCTGACCTCTCGCCACACATTTTCAGCGCCCATAACAAGTTTCCTGTCAAAATGCAGTGGCGGCATCGCTCAGTCCTGGAGGTTAGGAGAGATTTATCAGGAAGACGTTTCAATCACCTCGTTGTTTTCTGCAATTTTCATTCTTCTATAGCCGGTAATCTTCAGGTCTGAAAGACAAAAGTCAACATTTATTTCTTCAGGAATCTTGTTTTTATTTTCTCCTGCCTGATGAAGGAAGATAATTTTCCCAGTTTAACATGAAAGTAACTGTTTATCGAGAAATAGCTATAAACATTGTATCTAAGTTTTTGGTGAAAAACACCAAAGCCAAATCCTTAGAAAGTAGGATGGTTAAGTGACAGTTCCCATGTCTTTTGAGAATATAAACAGAGGCCATTTTGTATCTATGCGTGAATGTATTTTGTAACTTAAAAAGTTGAATTCAATTTCTGTGATCTATTTTAGAGTATTTTTTCAGAAAGTCCTTTCCATAGAAAGAATTCCTATGATCTTTAAAATCCATATGAAGATATGTATTTACCTAATAAAGACAAATTTTGAATGAGTAATTTCCCTATGTATATTATTTTATCATCTGCTAAATTTAATTTTCATTATGATACATATATACATATATCAACACTAGCTCTTTGATATATTTTAATTATACACATATAATTGGTCTTCTCCTCATTTATATATTTACAGGATTAATCATTCCTGAAAGTTGCTTCTAGTAGTAAATTAAAACAAAGAACATTTTGGGGCCGGCCGAGTGGCGCGTTGGTTAAGAGCTGGCTTAGGACACCAGAGGGCCCCGGTTTGGATCCCACATATGAGCCAGTGAAGCAATGTCCTCCACAACTAGACTGAAGAACAAAAGGACAGCAACTTGTCTGTTCCCCTTCCCCCAATTCCCCAGCGCTGTTCCCAGCCCCCAATAAGAATCTTAAAAAAACAAAAATAAAACAAAGAACATTTTCAGGGAAATGTTAAATTATAACAATGAAGAAAAGGAAGAAGAGGAAATTATAAAATGCAAAAATATAGTGTCCTGTTATCTTTTACACAGTGTCTTTTTAGATACTGAGCTCATATGGAATTTTCAGAAGGAAGTTAGTAATAAGTAAACTAAATAGATATTTTTGAAAACAGCTGTAAAAATATTTGATAGTCTGAGTTCTGTGAAAAAGCAGATGAACTCTATTCGCTCTGAAAGTACTTATCTAGTCCCTTTCTACATTTACAGTGTGTTTTCTTAAACAAAACACTCAAGAGATACCAGACAGCCCAGCTATGAAGACCCACAGTCTAGTGGCTGAGTAAATGAACTATATTACAACTTAACGCTATTATTTAACTTGGAGGAATTCAGGCACTGATCTGGGAAAGCAGCCAAATGGGCTCCACTGTATCAGTCATTCTATAACAACAAGAAGGGAAACTGCAGAGTTTTGTCACTGTGTTTGACATCTCTTTCCAAACAAAAACTGCGTCCAAAGTCTGGGAAATGACAGCTGGATATGACAGCTGAGCGCAGCTCCAAAGTGGACCCTTTCAATCTTCAGTTGTGACTCAATACAAGGAAAGCAGCGAGAAACACCAGTCCATTCTAAAAAAACAATGTATTCTCCCGTCCAGCTCGTTCATAGTTACGAAAGGGAGGTGATGATCCACCGGAAGGAGCTAAGCTGATGTCCTAACAAAAAGTCTGCAACTCCACTCAATAAATTAAAGGTGCTTAGTCTAGTTGTTCCCACACTAAAGGTTAATTTATGAAGGAATGAGATGACAAAACACCTTTTAATGAAATTTAGAAGTGACATTAGAAATGTGTGTGCAAGATCATCTGTAAGGAATGCAGACAGTGACCTGAAAGAAACAGGGGCCTTTTAAAGCCCACGTTTGTTGCAAGATTTTTTTGGAGAAATAGAGGAGGGTGAAGATGAGGGCTCTGTTAGGGCGATGGGCAGTGGTGAGCGAGAAGAAAGAGCAGGTCCCGGATTTAGGAAGCAGAAAAGTCCCACGTTTGCCAGGGGGAAGGGAAGGTGGCGAGAAGGAAGAGGCCCAGGGAGATGAGGGGAGGAGCTACCAGGAAATGGCAGTCCCAGGACGACTACTAGTTTTCAGCTAGAAGAACGCAGTGCGTGGCGATGCTCTGTATTTTTTCAGGGTAGGGGATCCAGGCAGAAGAGATTCTCAAGGGAAGAACCTTGGTTTTGAATACGAGAAAATCCGGACATGGCATGCAGCTTGTAATTAGGATTTGGAGTTTAGGAAAACTGAGGCAAAGAGCGTGACATCTGAGAGTCTCTGGCATAGATTCCTTCTTTTCCATCCCACTTCCATGTCTCAAGGGGCCCTGCTTAAACATCTTCGCTAGCCCTCCGCGGCTTGCCAAGTTCAAACACCCTCCAGCACCCTTTCTGAGTCATTCTTTCAGTACTCCATTTCTCTACATCCTGGTCCCATGACAATACTTGCTATTGCCCAGATAAAAACTGTCACATCTCTGGATTTGGGTACTTGAGATGTTCTTTGCTTGGAATATCTCTTATCTGCTTGAAGGGACTTGATGAATCCTTCAAAGTTCTGCCTTAAACATCACATCTGAGAAGCCCTCCACAATTCTTCCTCTTTAACTTGGGCAGGGCTGCTTTCTCTGAGCTGGCCAGACTATGTCATGCATACTTTTATTACAGTGCTTCTGAAATTATACTTGTCCCTATGGAAATACATTTTATTTATGTTAATAACATGTGCCGAGTACTTATTAGATGCCATCAAGTATATCAACTACTTCCCGTGCATTATCTCATTTTATCTTCATAACTACGTGGTGAGAAAGGTACCGTCATCAGCCTCAGTTGACAAAACTGAGGTTCAGAGGGGCTGAGTAACTAGTCTAAGGATACACAGCCAGGAAGTGGATGGCAGGGACCTTGTGCAGATCTCTGACTCCAGCGCCTGCAAGCACCATTTTATTCTACATGACACCTATTGAGCTGTCAGGTCCTCTGAAGGCAGGGTCCCAGCAACTTTGACCTCGTACTTCCAGTAATCAGCACAGTGCTCAGCATGTGGTGGGTGCTTGTAAGATATCTGTCATTAGAGCAGTGAATGCCTTGAAAATGCCACTTTGCCAGCTCTCCCTTGCTCTTTCTATTGACAAATAATCAGGATCTTTCAAGATGGTTAACTTGCTTTTGGGGAATCTGGTGGGGGCAGATACTTTAGATGTCCGTAGAGCTAGAAACATCAACTCATACTGAAGACAACTGACGCTATCACACGGCTTCACCCTGTGGGGAAGTGAGGTTTTTACACTAATACTTCTACTTCTTTCTGTGCACACACAAAGGGAAGCAGGCACACATGACATTGGGTATAACTTAAGACTAATAAACCTCAAACATATTTAATTTTCCCTGAGGTCTATGTCTTTTCATTCTTAAATAATATTTCTCAGTATAATGCTTACTCCAACAAAACATTTCAGACTAGAGTAAAATTGGGACAGTGGAGTAATATTAAAAATGGTAAAAGGTCAGTTTGATTGAGTTTAAATCATTCCCACTGTATGGATGAAATTATTTAGAATAAACCATTCCGGGGAATCTGGCGACATCACATATTCCTTGAACGAAACACGTGAGCTGTACAGGTTAACAGTAAATCAGTGTAATGGTGACTTTATACTCATTTATCCAGGCACTGGCACCACTGGACTGATAAGAAAAAGTCCAACAGTGCTTTTTTTTAAAAAAAAATAAAAAAAATAAACTAAGCTCCTAAGATTGTTAAAAATTTTTTTTAGTCAAATTATTGTGTCTTCCATTAAAATGAAGAGGAATTGTTATATTCAAGTATCGCTTTAAAGTCCCAAGTTCTGTTGGCTAGGATTATAAATGACAATCCTATTGCTGTTGGTTGTTTAGAGGTTGCTTTTTATTTTAACAACCAGTTCTAATCTGTTCGTATCCAAAAGAACAATTTAGAACAGTTTAGAATGCCTAATTTGAGCAAACTGCAGCGCTGGAAATACTGAGGTGTACGGTTTAGGCCAATGCTGAGCTGGTTAAAAGGAGTGGGAAAGTTGGAATGTAATCTCCCTCCACAAGTCCAGCTAATAACTTCTGACAGTGAAGTTTAACTTAAGTTAAATCTTGTAGGAAAATGCCACATGACTAGACGAGCATGAAATGATGGAAAATCTTGAAGATGTCTAGATCCTAGCTCCTGATGGCTTTTGAAAAGGTACAAATCCTTGCCACTGTCTTTTAAGTCTCTGATCTGAAGCACATTTTATAAAGGTGGAGGTAACAACAGTACTTTTCAGGGTATTAACTTAAGTAAACCTGGACATCTGTACATTTTTAGGATTAATCACTTTTGTATCAGAGGGCTTAAATCCTTGCTCTCCGAGCGCTATGGACTGGGCAGGACGCTCACCAAGCCCCTTTGCTGGGCTACTGTTCCTGGCATCTGGAACCCTGAGATCTGCTTTCAGGAAAGACAATTCCAGGGTCAGTCACCGGTGTCCTTACGCCTCCTCCCTTTCATCCACACCCCCCTCTCTCCCTTGCAGGCACAGTTCTAATAGCACACTTCATACACAGCATTAAACACCAGGAACAAGGGTTTCCATTATAAACATCTGTTTTCATGTATTTATTGATGCTGAAACTTTCCACATTTAGTTTCTCTACAAAGGTGGCGGGTTTTGCTTAAAATAAAGCATTACTGATCCAATGGGTGAGGAATAAAAATACAGTTCTTCTTTGGTTTTGTTTTATCACTCTGGATAATGTGAAGCAATTCAAGTTGAAAATTTCCACATACCTAGTTTTTCCTAAGAAAAGCTCTCCGACAGAATTTTGTAAAAATGAAAATAGAGTTTAAAATGATCCAAATTTTATTTTTAACCAACATAATGAAAAATTTCCATTACAGTGTCAGCATTATAATTTCCATGATTATTGTGTTGTAATGTGTTGGCAACACTGCAATGATTATGGAAATAATTACTGACAGTATTAAAATAAGCTGACCGTTTGAAAGCTACAGTCTCAGGCAACTGAACTGTAAAGAAGGGATAGTGCTATTGTTTTTTCCTTTGAGAAACAAATTCTGAGTGTATATCCTACAATCACTAATTGCATATGGCAAACACATCTATATCATCAAGAAACACAAAATATAACCCCATTACATATGTGAATACAATTTATGTATCCATGAGATATAAAAAATACTAATTTAAGATGTGAAGTATACAGGCAATACTTCTCATATGAAAAAATGGCTTTTAGTTATAAAACACATTTATAGTTTTCTCATAAAAAAATCACTTTTTTCCTTCTTCTTATCTATCATTGTTTTAAAAATGACTAATTTTCTTATTATCGTAAGAAAATCTCACGTATCCTGAAACTAGACCTGAGAGAGTATAATTTTTAAAAGTGATTGAAAATACTTTAAATGAAATCCCAACAATGGTAGCTTTGAATTAAGATTAAAACAATGTTGTTAATCACCTAAGTTCAAAGCTTAGTCTGACAATTGTTATTGTTGCTTAGGAGCTTTTTGTCTCTAATAGAAAAAACTAATAAACTTACATTTAACCAAAAGCTAATTATTGTTCCAATTCCAAAATGTACATTTTTATTTTATAAACATATTTTAAGTTTTATTGCTAGGGAAACAAAAACCAAAGCAAGCTATTTTTGTGTCTATTTATTTATGGTGCAATCCAGGTACATCTGTTTCAGTCAAGTCTCCTCAGGTTCACCATAAGATCTTGGATACATTCCAGTTACTACATTCCCAAGAAATATTATATTCTTGGCTTAGCTGTTTCGGGTGGAACAAAAGCATATTTTAATCAGGTTCCTTCTCCAAAAGGAGAAAAAACGGTTTTACTCATGAAAGCAAAGCTACCAGTAATAAGAAATCCCATTTTCAATGGCTTGCATTGTATGGTACATCAAATATTTACACCTAATTCTAATGGATGTAATATTTAATACTTTATGACCTAGCAAACAACTAAAATGCCATAGTCCATTCAGGCAGTCACTAGACACATGAAGCTACTGAAATTTAAATTAATTAAAGTTATATAAAATTAAACATTCAGTTCCTCAGCCACACTGCACTAGCTCAGAGCAAGTGCTCAGAAGCCATGGGACCAGGAACTACTGCATTCAACAGCTCTGATACGGACAGTTTTCATCATTGTGGAAAGTTCTGTTAGAGAGTTCTGAACTAAAAGATCATCCTTTTCTTAGATAACAAATTTTTGGTTAATCCAAAAATGCATATTTTTTCCTCATCACATTCATTCCACAGCAATAAAAACAAACCAGACTTGATGTTAGCTCTGATGTGCAGACTAACGAAATGTTGAATGATTTATGTCAAATAACTAGTATACCTATATCACGACATATCCTTGAATTTCAGCAAGTGTGTATATACTTTATGATTTTGGGAACAGAAGTTAACATATGTTGTGTGGCTACTTGTGAGGAAAGATTCAAGTTTAACAGCATAAAGGAAAACCTGCTATCTAATGCATATTCCTGCTACAGAGAAATTTGGAATGAAAAGAAAGGGCAAGAAAAATCCATTCCCAGACTATAGCTAAAAAATGCATCAAAGGCTCTAAGTCTCTATAAGTCCATTTAAAAATAATCATAGGAAAGCCCTAATTCCATTCATATAATAAAGGCACACAGTACCAGGCTCTAAGTCTCTATAAGTCCATTTAAAAATAATCATAGGAAAGCCCTAATTCCATTCATATAATAAAGGCACACAGTACCTTTTGTTTTAAATTAACCAGGAATCACTTAAAATGAGCATTTTGAGTAGTACTCTGATTATAGTAACATTTAATATAATTTTTGTTGAATGGTTATTATATTACTACTATTCTACCTGGTTTAACTAATTTAGAATATTCTAGGTCTAATTAAGTTTTAGAACTTGTTGCATCATTTACAACTATGTTGCTAACCTTTTTTATATGAGAGGGATTATTCATTATGAATTTGAAACCAACTGGACAAACAGTTAACCAAGTTTACTATTTGGAAGTGCTGAAAAGGCTGCGTGAAAAAGATGAAAACGACCTGAACTTTTTACCAACAATTCATGGCTCTTGCATCACAACAGTGCACCAGCTCACACGGCACTGTCTGTGAAGGAGCTTTTAGTCAGTAAACAAACAACTGTACTCATCTGATCTGGCCCTCAATGGCTTCTTTCTTTACCGGAAGATATAGAAAATATTGAAAGGAAGACATTTTGATAACATTCAGGACATCAAGGGTAATACGACAACAGCTCTGATGGCCATTCCAGAAAAAGAATTCCAAAATTGCTTTAAGGGTAGACTAGGCACTGGCATCGGTGCATAGCTTCCCAAGGGGAGTACTTCGAAGGTGACCATAGTGATTGATATTCAGCAATGAGGTGTGTAGCACTTTTCCTAGGATGAGTTCGCGAACTTAATTGTCTGGCCTCATACTTTAGAGTATTCATGATATACAACTGTAAGTGCATAATATGTGTTTAAAATAGCACCTTTGATATTTCTAGTTAAAAAAATAAAGGAAAGTACCATACCCCTCTTAGGTATATAAACTCATTTATGATAATGTTTTTATACGACATTCAGGTATGACACCCTTAGATTTACAGAACTTCATACAGCATGGTAATCTACCCAAACTTCAAGGACTACTTAAAATTCTTTTTTAGAATATAACTTCTTAAAGTGGACTATTTGAGAACTATGTATGACTTAAGTGTATTTATGTAAACTGCTATAAGAGGCACTAAGAGGCACTTCAGCAGAGCAGTTCGGATCATGACCGAGGATCTAGAATTAAATAACTGAAACTGAATTAAATAACTGCTTTAATCCACCATGTGCCCTAGTGCCTACTACAGTGTCCTGCACAGAAGAGATAGCTAACATGTATTTGTTGAATAAATATATAAATTAAGGAAGCAGTTTGCTTCTGTGACAAGAACACAGGGTTTGCAATCAGACACAGGTATAAATCCAGGCTACACTATAAACCAGCTGACCCTTGGCTTACTCTTAAAAATAGGAAAAATATGTTTATCTTGCAGGCCTGTGGAGAGAATTAGATATAATGCATATAAACCACTAGTGCCACAATGGGCAACTGGAAAGTGCTCAATAAATGATCACCGATGACACTATTTTGCTCATCATTTGTGGATTTAGTAAAGGAGAACTTAGACACAAGTCAGCATAGTCAAAAAGGTTTAATAAAATACCCTAAAGGCTTCTGTGTGGAAAGAGTCTGAAGATATATACATACATAGGCAATAACGAGAGCCAATGATTAGATTCCTGGACATAAGCCAATCCTGGTAGGGCTTAGATTTTCACCAACCTATCTGGCCAAAGAGCCAATAAAGAGATGGGCTTTTCAGAGCACAGAGGGCTGGATCTGAGGGGAGAGTAGCGGTCTTGTGTAGGTCAAGCATGAGGCTATGTGGTTCTCTCCAGACTTACTGTGTAAGTTCTGTAAACATTTCTGAGGCTCTATCATGTGAAGTACTGGTCTATGCACTGGGGACGCAACGATGACAAGACGCAGCTCCTTTCTTGAGCTCAATGTGGTAATGACAGAGTCAGACAGGAGGTGTGAAGCAGAAGATTGCAGGACACTTACTCTAGTCCTGATATTTAGGCAAGGCTTCTTAGAGGAGATGACCTCTGAGCTAAGGTCTAAAGAGCAAGAAAGAGTTATCCCAGACACTAAAGGTGAGGGACCTGTTTTGTGCAGAAGTAATAGCTGAACAAAGGCAAGGAGAGTTAAATTGCAGAAAAGGGTGCCAGTCTTAGACAGCCTGCTACTGCTCCAACAGCACCGTAGGGTGGGAAGAATTTAAACTGCAGACATAGGAAGGAGGCAGGTCACGGAGAGCCTGGAGACAGTTAGATGAGAGACAGTATGTCAAATTTAAGCAGCTTTCCAGGCCTTAGGTAGAGGGAACTGTGCAGGAGAGGAAAAAGTGTTTTGTTTTTCTACTTGGATCAAGACTATTTATAAGTATCCAGAATTAATGTCTTTTCATTAGAGGATATTCTTGGCTTAGTGAAGCAATCTGGAAAACGGAGAATCACTTTAAATAATGACGATTCATTTATTATTCCAAGAAACTACAATCAATCCAGGTAACGTCATACCACACAAATGCTGTACCTGACAATTATAGGCACTTATGAACACCCTTGCACTTAACCTAGCAAGGTCTTAAGACTTAGAGACTTTTGGTTCTACCATTTACATCTAGAGTTTATTAGCAGATAGAAGCTGCAAAGAGTATCCAAGGGAGTCAAAAAAAAAAAGTTCATCCTTTCCACCTCGAGGGTCTTATCATTTGATTAAGGAAAGAGAGGGCACCAAACCCAGCTTAAAAAACAAGAAAATAAAAACAGAGACAGGAAGAGTAAAACAAAAAGACTTACGGAGACCACAATCTTGGGAAAGCCTCCACTTCCTCTTGTGTGTACTCATCTAGACGCCGGGGTACTTTTCGTGGCTGAGGAAGCTCTTCCACTAAATTCTTAAGAATATCTTCTGGTATATCCTGGGTTCAGTAAAAATTTAGGCTTAGTTTTCTTAAAATATATTCCTTAGTAATAAGTCAGTAATGGTTAAGTATTAAAAAATAATAAACAAAAGCAATATTTATAAAATGAGAAAAACAATATGAACTTTGTGAAAATTCCTGAGCGGTACATTCCATCAATGATAAAAGTAATCTCATTATAGTAACACACTTCATATTTTAATCTTGACAAAGGTATTTCTCATGATAAATTAGACGTCTTCAATTCTCACAATTATCGAGCCACTAAGTTCTATTTTTTTTTCTTCTAAATACTGTTTAACTGAACCCTCTCTTCTCAACTGCAAAACAGGCACTACCTTGGCTCACTCTCATGATTTTTCATCTGACGAGTGTATGTGCTGGGCCTACTGCTTCCAGTGCTACAACCTTTCATGCTCCATGTTGTTGCCAGAAAAAACTTTCCAAAATGAAAATCTGCTAGACCCTTGGGTCGTTTAGCCAACAAACTTTTATTGAACTCCTTCTATGAACCAGGAATTGTGCTAGGTGTTGAGTATATGAAGGAAAACAGTAAGATCATGCCCTCCGAAGGCTTGCAATTTTTAAAAAGTGACTCCATAATAACTTCGCTTTTTCTCTGCACGGGATCCAGAATCAACCCTTTCTCCAAAGAGAACCAGGTTCCTTTGAACAGGAAACAGCACTGAGAAAACAAGATGTAGGCACTAGTTGTGCTTATGTCTATTTGTGCTGTAACTTTATTTAATGAATATATAAAATCTTATGATAAAAAGGTTAAAGTAAAAAAATAATTTAAAAGGTATTCTCCGAAAAAAATCTCATCCCTATTCCTTCCATCTCTTTGCGCCCATGCACCAATAAGTAGCCAACTTCATTTTCTCATTTATTCTTTCTGTATTGCTTTATGGAAAAAGCAGCAGATATGTATGTAAATATACGTATGAATATATGCATTCAAAAGGGAGTATGCTATCTACATTCTTTTTCGCCTTGTTCTTTTTTCACTTAGCGATATATCTTGGAAAAACTTTACTTATCAAGTCACAACAATATCTTTCATTTTACTTTTATAATTGTATAAGTAGTCAGTTAAATGGATAGCACATAGTTTATCCAATTTTCTATGAATAAGCATTTATTTCTATTACTATTGTAAATATTGTAGAAACAATAATCTTGTATATTTTCAGATTAAATTGCTATAAATGAGATTGCTGGGTCACGTATGAATATCCTTATGTGCTTTGTTAAATGTTACCTAATTGCTAGATTCTTTATGGGTTGCATCATTTTGTACTTCTACCAGCACTGCCCGTTTACCAATGAACGGCCTTGACAATAAAATGTGTTGCCAAGCTTTTGAATATTTAATAATCCATTCTTGGGGAAATGGGCTCATTTATTTTAGTCTGAATTTATTTAAGTAATTTACTGTTGAACTAAACTACCACAAATACTTAAAACATCCATACTCAAACCTCATAACGGGGATAAATATTATTTTTGTGTCCTTTAGAAATTATGGTTTCTAAGAAATGTGACAGTATAATCAGAAACAGGAGTTTTTAAATTCTTGTGATTTCATGAAGGTCATTTCTCCTTAGATGATTTGACTGCTTCCATACTTGGTACCTCAAGGTAAAGTGAATAGCAGAAAATTATTTTACTCACTCATGCAAAGCAAAGGTTATACATTAACCATTTTGATAAAAGCATGAATAATTTACTCATGTGTTATTTAAGATAACAGAGCACAGAAGTGGCTCGAACAGTGGATATACTTGTGTTCTGGAATGAATTTCTACAAATTCCTCTAGTAGAAACTATAAGAACAGTAAGTATAACCATGGTAATGATAGCAACTACCCACTTACTGTGCCAGGCCCTCTGTGCTTTACAAATGTTATCTCATTTAACCCATATGTAGTAGGTACTCTTGTTATACCCATTTCACAGATGAGAAAATAGAGATAATAAATAACTGGTCCATGGCCATAAAGTGAATAAATGGTGGGAGCACGGATTCTAATCTCGTCTGATTCCAGAGCCTGGACTCAACTACATTACTATAGAAGAGAACCCCTAGTGTTTGCTTATAGTATATTACAGAGAAAAGCTAAGTACTTAAAACAATGTAATAGTAATAACAGGAGCTTTGATCATAGTTCCTTATGCAAAAAAAGCAATTATTAGAAAAAACAGAGCTTATGGACTTTTAATTTTAGTCCAATGATAGCTCACTTTATGAACTAAGAGCAACTGTTATTATGGCATGCTTACTATAAAATACAGAAAGTATTTGAGAAGCTGACATGAAGTTACTGAAAGTAAGTCTACAGCAATTATTTTAAAAGAAGATAAAGTATTTAATTGAAGATTCAGAAAAGGCATCTGACCAGTGACCACTCACTTACCTCATCTGGGAAAAGATGTAACCTCTGCATCATAGTTCTTCTGTGAAGGTTTTTTGGCAGCATGCCATAAGTGGCTAGTTTTACAATCTGAAAAACAGGTATAGGTAGGACTCAACAAACAAACAAAAATGATAACTTGTGATATAAAGAAGGCAAACATAATTAGAGACAGTTAGGAAAACCAGGGGGCTACGACTCCATAGGAACATGAAAGTGAAGACACTAAGCCTTAAGTAGGTATGTTGTGGCAGCAGAGAGGGAGCGTTTATCATTTTGTACATTACTATGTTCTTTAGACTCTATGTGTTTATTTTTATTTAGAAAAAGGACAAAAGGAAGAGATTAAAAACTATGTATGTGCCAATTTTAGTCAGACTGAGAAGGAATTCTCTAAGCTTTTACAAGACTCTGTGGCTCCAACTCGATCACATAGCGACCAGAACAGAGCCCAGGGAGGCCATAATCCAGTTTCTTCCAGCTGGGAGATCAGGTTTCCAATTCAAAGACTAAGCTTGACCACACAGTTATGAGACTGACTCCTCAGGCAGCAGATCTATAACGTGGTAATGGTTAATGTTCATTGACAGCGGTCAGTGCATTACGCTTGTCTTCTTGTGTACAATGCTGAGTCTCATTTCACAGATGAGGAAACAGATATAGCGAGGTTCTAGGACTCCCCCAGCTTCATGTATCTAATAAACGGTGGTGCTGGAATTCAAACCAGGCAGTCTAACTCCCAGAACAGACACCTGGTACATGGCAATCACACCTGTAATGTGTTTCTCTCCATAAGTTATCAAGATGACAAAAAGTCCCTTCTCTCTACCATACCCATTCCCAACATGGCAAACTAACCTTTCTATGATTTACTTTTCCCCCTTGAAGCTTATCCTCATTGTTGGTTTCAATGTGATTTCATGTGTTTTATCATGTATGTTTCATTAGGAGGCGACACAGTGTCACCCTGTGCTCCATCTTCTCCTGGGGGGCCTCCTAGTATATAGTGTCTGCACATATACTGTGAGTTCTTCGTAAAACTACTGATAGAGACCTTTGGATTGTTCCATAGATTTTTGCCATCTGTACTCAATATTTCAAGGATATAATCTGACATGTTTTAAAGCCAAATGCCCTAAAACAATCCATGTTAGAACAGGGTTTCACTATAAGATGATTTCCTATTCCTTTTGTTTTCTCACCAAATCAGACTACAAAATCTCACCACATATGAAAGCTAATGACATCCCATATATATTTTCCATTTATTTTCTAGGTTAGTGCTGTTAAAACTTTATGTTCTGGAGACTTTATCTAAATATAGGTTTATATTGTTAAAATTAACGGAAATTGAAAATTCAGGTCCTCAGTCACACAGCCACTTTTCAAGTGGTCAATTGCCACATGTGTCTAATGGTACCTTATGTGACGGTGCAGACATAGAACAGTTCCATCATGGTAGAGATTTCTATTTGACAGCACTGATCTAGATATTAATCTTTACAATTTTTAATGTTGTAGAAGTCTTAAGCAGGAACTGACAACATTGAGACTACTTAGCATCATTTCTGGATAAGCAAGTCATTATTATATCCTCCAAAAATCACCCTTTTAGCAATTTTCTTCTATTAGTAGGGTTACATGGCATTTGGTTTTCATGTGCTTAAAAAATTTAGTTGAATATTTACTTGAATTAACAGGTTGGTATTTTTTTAAATTGCCCTATTAAAAAATGAAAACGTAATACTCTAAGAAAAGCTAAAAAATGTGAAAAACTTATAAGCTGACAGGGGAGAGAAAAAGAGACAAACATATATACCTCCAAAGAAATATGATAGGACATGTACATACAATTATGTATTTCTAGCTTTACAGATTTAAGCATAAGCTCTAAGGAATTCAGGGAGTGAGAAAGGTAGAACAAGGTGAGGTTAATAAATATTAAAGACCTTCCTCATATAATCTGTAACCCAGAGCAAGTGTCATTTGATCCACACAAAATAAATTTATTTGAACTATTGGAGGGGAAAAAAACATAAGAAAGGAACTATGTTAGAAGAAAAAAGATACGGACACAGAAACTCTTAAAGAAACTAAATATATAAGAAGGATACAGGATATAAGAAAAGGGCTGAATCAATATATTGATTTGAGTTTAGAATTGATGATCTATGTAATTATAAAAAATATTTTGAAATATTTAATAACCTACGAATAACCGTTTAAATGTATTAATGTACTTTACAAATACTATTCCAATACTATTAATAATCGGAAGACTGCATTATGAAACAAATTCTCTTATAAGCCACGTGATTAGCAAATCATGTCTGCTGGCAGAGGACTCACTGCTCCACACAAACACTTTAGTGGAAGGAAAATAAATGGCCTCTTCCTTGGCAAGCCATTCTTTTTCAAAACACAAAGTCTAAATTAAGACTTAAAAAAAAATTAAGATCTTTAAATGAGGTAATAATTCAAATGGATTTAACTCTGAAATATTTTCCAAAGCTTCATCAAACATTTTTGAATGCATTTCGATCTTTGTTTATATATACAAAATATAATTTAAAACAATTACTACAAATTTAGCCAGTGCCAAATTCTTCACATCAGAAAGTAGGACTACACTGCCTCCTAGTGCACAGTGAGCATGCCTGAGTAAAATACAAACTTGAATTTTGAAAACATTCTAAAATACTAAAAGTATAATCTGTTGTAACAGTTATGGTATATATTAACAGCAGTCCTTACAACTTTTCAATATCATTATATGCAATACATATTAACAGTCAAAATAGGATACTTTATTTGACCGGTAATAGTCTAAAAAACACATGAATTATGAAACAGAACATTAAATATTGCCTAAGAAGTAATCTGAGTCTATTTTTGTAAAATAGACATAAATGATAAAAAGTAAAAATGAACAGTTAAGCATGGAACTTCCAAATGTTATGTCAGTCCTTATTATAATAAAATATGTCCCCCACATCCTGAAAATCTTAGGCAGTACGACACCAAACAAATGGCTGCATCCTGACAACAGATATTTATTTTTAGTTACCATTTTAAAACAAAAAAAAAGAATGTCCTCATAGTATAACATTTGCTAATTCATTAATACATTTAGGTAAAAAGCTAAAATAGTTACTGATGGGGAAAATGCTGTCTGTCTTATGAATACAGTTCAAAGATTGGGTTTTAAAGAGCTATAGGAAGAAAAAATAAAATTGTTAAATGGCAATAGGAGACTTTGCTTTTAGCAATATTAAGGGCTCATATTTGGATTAGAAACTTCTCCCTGTATGTAACTCAAATGATAAAATAATAAATAAACATCAGTGAAGTTAATGATACTGTTCAAAAAAAATTCTTTTTTAAAGCATGGAATGAATCGGAGGCCAGAAACAGGAGAAAGTACTACAAGGAAAAGAAAGTTCTAGGGCTGGCATTTGTCTTGAGGCATCAACTTAGCGCAGGGCTTGGGTGTTAAAGGAGTCCCACTTTGAGGTCAAGTAATAGGATCACAGACTGTCATAAACCTAGATTTTCAACAGCAAGGCAACACCCAGGGTAAAGCATGGGAAGATTAAACAGTGAGTCTTTCCTGATAGGTAACTGCTAAACTATGAGGCCTGATCTCAAAAGGCTTTGAGGCCCAAATTCACCCTTTTTATGGGGATCAAAATCTAAAGTATAGCTTAAAGGGGTCTTAGAAAATCCAGATGTCTAAAGTATAGCTAAAAGAGCCCCATGAACCTGCCAGAAGCTAAGTAAATCTTTCCTGAAGAAATGGACTTTTAACACAGCCTCAAAGAATTCCCAGAGATGAAGCTCCAAGGTACATGAGTTTACCAAGTATCCTGAGCAGAAACAATAAATTACAGATTCAAAAAGACCACAAATACTGGAATCAAATATAAATGTTAACAGTTATGTTTGATATGCCTAAAGCAATATGAGAGAACCAAAGTATGACAAAAGAACAGAAAGACTATCAAAACTGGCCAGCAAACTTAAAAAGAAACAAACAGGAGAACTTCAGGAAAAGGAAAAAATATATAATAAATGAAATTAGGAATGCAACAAAAAGGTCAATCAGATGAAACATAGGTAAAAAGACAGAGAACTAGAACACAGATCTACAGAAATTATCAACAATACAGCACAGACAGGGAAACACAAAATACGGAAGAGAGCTAACGAATCGTGCGCAATAAATTGAGAAACTCTACTGTAATGATACGCAGATTTCCAAAGGGAAAGAACAGATAGAGAATAAAAGGAGACAATATTAGAAGATATAAGCTGATAAATTTTCAGAATGGATGATACCAATCCTCAAACAAAACAAATAACAAAATTTGAAAAGAAACATGAAAACAAAAACCAAAGAAAAGATCTTAAAAGTATCCAGAAAGTAAAGACAGAATACATACAACGAAACAATTAAACTGACAACTGACTTATCAATAGTAATAACAGAAGCTAGAATCTGTTTACAAAATAGCTTCAAAAAGCTGAGAAAAAAAAGTGGTTATCCTAGAATTGTGAATCTAAGCAAAACTATCTTCCAAGAATGAAGGCACAGGCCTTTTAAGCTTCCTTTGCTTGGCCCGCTCCAAACTCCTTGGAGTGTACTTTCTTTTCTAATAATGGCCCTTGAGCCATTCTCTACTGTTCGGGCCCGCTTCTGAAATGTATTTTTTCTTCTAATAAACTCCTTTTCTGAAAAAAAAAAAAAAAAAAGAAAAAAAAAAGAATGAAGGCAAAAATAAAGATAGTTTCAGACAAAAAAAGGGAGTTCACTTTTGAGAGACTGTTATGATAGGAGTGTCAATAAGAAGTACTTGAAGAGGTAAACTGAATCCAGAAGGAAGGATGAGTTACATGAAGGGATTGCCAACAAAAAACAAATCATAAATCAGTAACTATATAAAATAATAACAAGAATGAATTGGAAGGGTTTTTAAAAATATGGACTAGAGAAAGCATATAGATTGTGAAGAAGAGTGGGTGTTAAAAATCTGCTAAGGGCCTGGAATGGATTTGAAGGAAAGTGAATATATTGACTAATCTTAGACCTCTCATAAACTAACTCCATCAATCCAAAGAAAGATAAGAATGAAGGTGATGAAAAAGAAAATAAATCCTAGCCCAGTAAAATGTACAGTTAAACTGTAAAGTGTTATATCAGGCAAAAGAAGGTTGATACAGCTATATTATATATAAAAAGAGTAGACCTTAAGTTAAAAAGCATATTGGAAATTAAGAGTGTCAGTATGTACCCTGATCAATTCTTTAGAAAGATTATAATTCCAAACTTAAATTTAACACTAAATCTTCAAAACATACAAAGTAAAAACTGACAGAACTACAAGGAAAGATGAACAAATCCACAATTGAGGTTTCAACATAATTCTGTCAGGCAATCAATAAATCAAGTCAACAAAAAAGTCAGTTAAGAATATGACTGGAGCAACATACTTGGCATATCTGATATAGCAGATATATAAACATACATACTCATACATACTTATATGCACATCTCTCTCTTGCTCTCTCCCCAAGATGTTTTCAGCAAACATATTTTAGGTGATCATGCAGGTGTCGAGAAATTTTTTAAAAGCATCAAAATTCTTTAACTTAATGCAAAATAATAAATAATAATACTAAATCAACACTAAATAGTAATTTAAAATATATGGAATTCAATGATAATGAAATACTTACCAAAGCTTGTGTGATACAGTTAAAGTGAAGAATTTATAGTCTTGAATGCTAGCCAAATTAGAAGGAAGATTGAAAAAGCAGTGTCTGAACCAGTCTTTCCATAGATGATAAACATTAAAATATATGATAGACTTACTGCCACTGGATCCTTCTGGTGAAGTTGAGCAGCTGTTACTTGTCTAAATCCACCTGGGTAACTGTTAAAAGAAGCAAACACCTTAAACCTGGGAGCAGGCTATGGTATAGTATTCTTGAACAGAATATTCTTTTATAATATAAAAACTCTTTATTATGAAATTATACTTGTTTCTGGAAACTATGCTATTCATTAGTGCCTTAAAAATTAAGTAGTAACCTATGCTATTTGAAATGCTATTCTCTTAAGTGGTCAACCATCATTATTTCATAAAAAGTTCCACATCTTGGAAAATTTCTCGGCAGAACTATTTACACTGCTATTGGAATTTAAAGTTATTCATTGTTCATTCACCCACTCATTCATTCATTATGGGGTAGTTTATATCACTGCTTAAATTAAGGAAGGAAAAGCAGTGTGCCAAAATATATCACGTTCTCTGACAAATTAGACAAAATGTCTGTAATAAGTTAGTGGTCAGGTTTGGGGAAAATAGTGGTAGACTATTTGGTTCAAAAGTCAAGTCAAACTCTAAACAGGTCACGATCCTGTTCTCCAGTAACAGTTGATAAAAGACTACTAAGAGTTATGTTAGTCCTAAGTAATAAAATACTTCATTGTGTTCAGATCAAAATTATATATAAAATGGATAAATCGGAGATTTAAAAATATGTTTATTTGGGGTAGTATTGAAGGCAGCTTAGTAACCTGATACCCCAGGTTCAGGTCTGACATCTATGTTTGCCAGTGGCTACCAGTGTATTAGGCAATCCTTTTACCTCTTTATAGATGAGTTTAACTTATGTAAGAAAGATGATAATATCTGCCCCATCTACGTCTCAAGATTTTTATGAGTCAAATGAGAAAATGTTTGTGAAAGTACTTTAGAAATTTAAAACAAAAATATATAGATGTAAGGTTTTATTACACTGAATGGATAAATAAAGCCTAAATGATTTTCAAGGAAGGAAAAAACAAAATGTAAAATTAGTGGACTTTGCAAGAAAAGTTTATGATTACCTAAAATGTGATTCCTTTCATAAGTTTCTTTCAGCAAGGCTTGAAAACATTTTAAGATGATTTAAAGAACCACCCTTTTAGGAATAAAATTTAAGAAAGCATATTTAAAAGTTTGCTGAGAAAGACAGATAATTTTCAAATTGATATTCTTTCATTTGTTTCATGGGATTTGAGTTTCAGAGAGAGAAATACCTGTCTAGACTTCTTTTCCTGTATTTTTGCTCTCCATGGAAAAATACTTTACACTTTCAATGCTGAAGACTATCTATTTTTAACATTGGGATGGCAAATACTAAAGCATGATGCCATTTACATTGTATTTCAGGAGTTTGGACTTGACACTGAAATATTTGGAGCTACTGTAAAATTCTGAGTAGGGGAACAAATTTGAGCAAGCAATACTCAGTTGATTTTTACTAGTGAAAAAGTAACTACATTTCTACTTCAGTATGGGATAGCCTGATTGGAGTAGAAAAACATTTGTTTGAAATGTTAGTCAAGATTTTTCCAATTCATATTAATTCAGCGAATACTAACTAAACGCCTATTATGCTGGGTGCTGGAGATATACAGATAAATATGACAAGATCTCATCTCAAGAACAGTGACTAAGTAAATTCTGCCGAGACATCGTATAGTCAACGATCTCTCTAACTCATGCCAGTACATTTTAGATGGCAGAGTTCAAAGTGCACACATACCCATCTCACTCAACCTCTAAAACAATTAGAAGTGAATGTAAAATATCTGGATAAGGACTTTCTGAGACTAGAATACACAGAAAGAATTACAAAGGAAAAGAGAGATTTAACTATATAAAAGTTAAATAACTGTACAGCAAAGGGCATCATAAAGGAAATTTGTAAAAGGTAAAAAAATATAATAGTGGATTAATATTCTTAATAGATAAAATGTTCAGAGAAAGTGATCAGGAAAGCATTGATACCACATTATTAAACAAATGTAAATAATTACATGCCCATCAAATAGGAGAGCCTTATTATTAAATTATTTCCAATGATAATACTGTGCAGTTTTGTAATAACAGACGTTCATATGCAAAACTAGTGTAATAGTAAACCGATGTTTGGAAATACATATCAAAGGCCTAAAAATGATTATCTCTTTGATCCTGAAATCCATTAAATTTCTAGAATTTCATTTTAAATAACTATATATTGAAATACTTAATGGATAAAGATGTTTTCCAGCTCTTTGTAAGTCAACATTTTAATTTCAAAAAATGAAGCAATGATTAATCATATTGTGTACCACTACATAGTAACTAAAAACGATACTTATAAAAGGGCTCTCTGAGAATTTTATATTAAGTGGGAAAGGATATAAAAATGCTGAGTCAGGGCCGGCCGAGTGGCGCGATGGTTAAGAACTGGCTTGGGACACCAGAGGGCCCCGGTTCGGATCCCACATATGAGGGCCAGTGACACTGCCCTCCACAGCTAAGATGGTGAACAACAGCTCAACCTGGAGCTGGGCTGCCCATGAGTCGACGGCAACGGCGTAGGCTGCAGCCCCTGTGGCAGTGGGTTGCCGTGGGCTACCGTGTGTAGCCAGCAGCCACCGTTAGCAGCCAGCAGCCGCAGTGAGCGGCCGTCCAGAAGTTGGCGACTGATCTGCCTCGCCCGGGAAGAGCACAATGATGGTGCCAACTTGGGCCAGTGAAGCAACATACTCCACAAGTAGACTGAAGAACGACAGCAACTTGTCTGTTCCCCCAATTCCCCAGCACTGTTCCCATCCCTGCAATTCCCCAATAAAAATCTTAAAAAAAAAAAAAAATGTTGAGTCAAAGGGTGAAGGGTGATTTTCAGTTCCTTCTTTCAACTTCTCTGTATTTTGTAACATTAGCATGTACTAAATTTTTATAACTAGAGTTAATTTTTGAATACATAATTGCAATCAAGTTTTAGGAGCATAATAAAAGTAGTATGTCCAAAGTCAAGCGTCAATAGCAACAGAGAAACAAAAAGCAATTAGCCCTATGGGAGATGAGGAAACAGGGAAGGCATCCCAGAAGAGGTGACATCTGAGCCAGGTTTTAATGGATAAATCGGAGAGTTCTTGATTAACATTCTTGTCAAGGAGAACAACACATGCAAAGGCAGAGAGGTAAGAAGCTGTAATATGTTGGCCAAAATGAAGTAGGATGAAGCAGTAGCGGTAACTGGATGCCGATCATCTGGAGATGTTTGGATTTTCCTCCACAGGAGAGACAGCACTATTGAGAGGGATACTAGCTGTTCACTACTGGCTGTGCTATTATTTTCTTTCATTTGCAGTAATACTATAGGTATTTTAGTTATAGGAATTACCCTAGCATTTGGTGTCAATAATTCCCTTTATGCTTTATTACATTGTTATCCTGACTTCAGATTTTTCCCAATTATACTTCTAAATTTTATACGTGGTTTATATGTAGAGATTCGCCAATAGCAGAGAGTACTAAAGATGGGTGTGAATTTATTTTTGTTAAGTTGAAGATTTCATAAATGTGTTGGAGGAAAGGAATGGGCTAAGGCTGGCTAAAGGAGGCCAAAAAGTTAATCCGAGCATTTAAGACCTGCTTGGGCAAGAGAGGAAAAGAAACAGATATGGGCATCGAAGTCTGCTTGTCTAAGACAAAGATGCAATTGGAGAGAAAACAGTAATTTTGATCAAGAATGAAAGATCAACATTTCTAATCATATCTTGCATAATAGTGTAGAAGATACACGTAATTAAAATTTGTACATGACCTGAGGATGAGGGGTTAACTGACACATTGTATGACAGAATCAAGATCTCAAAAGATCTTAAAAAGCTGGAAATAAAACTTAATTAACATGGTGGAAACTGAAGCTATTACCATTGGATTAAAACGCAACTGGTACACACAGGAAGGAGGAGAAATGGTTGAACCAGCACAGCAGCATGTTCGAAAAAGACTTAAGTGTTTTAGCTGACAGTGAACTCATGTGTTACATAGTGACATGGCCTAGAAAAGTTCTATTGCAATAGAACTCTGTGTAACTGAAAGACGGAGAAGTCACACTGTATTAGGAAACCATCAGAACACAACCAGGCAGGGGTACTCAGTTAAGGATATTGACAAGCAATGACTCTATCTAGAGAAGAGTGACCGAGATGTAATGGAGGTGTCTGAAGTGAAGCTATAGAAAGAACTCTGAAGGAACTACAGATGTTTAGCCTAGGAAAAGACAATCAGTGGACGCTTGCTAATCATTGTATTAAAATTATTTCAAGAATGTCATGTGGAAGAGATATAGTTATTTTACACTGTCCCAAAGAGAAGAAATTGAGATCAACACAAAAGCTAGAGAAAAACAGACTATGACTCAATAGCACAAAGATCTTTGAAAAAGTTAGACTGTTTCAAAGGTGGAAAAAATGGGCTGCCTTGTGAGCTATGAGATTGGTATAGTTCAAACATAGGCAGGGAGACCCAGAACTTGAAAGGTGTGTCATGGAGATTTTAGGTTATCTTCCAAAACTGGGATTTTGCTCACAACTCCTTACACATCTCAAGTACTTTCTGATGTTCAGGATGGTTCTGGAAACAGCAGTAAGATGAATTATAGGAAACAGAAAGAATGAGGTGAAAAGATTGACTGAAAACTGAGAATAATCTTGATCAGAGAGATTTATGTAAAAAGTAGCCAGCAAAAACAAATACTGTCAGTTAATAGCTAATATTTGGTACAGGTTTTTTTGTTTTTTGTTTTTTTGGGGTTTTTTTGATTGAGTAAATTATATAGGTAGCATGAGTAAAATTAGTATTTTCTTAAATGCCAAAGCTTAAAAATGCATTTTTCTTTTAAATAGGATCAATAATATTATTAAAGTAATATATTTCAACTGCCTATCTTCCTTGACAATGGCTTTCATTGTCTTACCCAGTATGTGATGAGTATACTTTTTGTTCCCATTTGTTTCCAGAAAATGCAATGTGCCTTGTGTTCACTATGACAACATGGTCACCGCAGTCACCTAGATTTAAAAAGAAAAACAAAAGAAAAGAAATTTTAAATGAAAAGTCATGACTTTAAGGAAAAAGTGGCCTTGGTTATTTATAAAACTTATCAAAGTCTAAGCAACACATTAAAAATAGAAAGCAAGTCAGTGTAATATCAAAATCCTTGAACAGATTTCTGTTAGTGCTTTACATAACATCTAAGCATAGAAAGAGTTGGCTAGCCATTTGGAAAATCTTGACATTGGAAGGTAAATGAGATTTAATAAAGATGCCAATACCAACAATACATCTTTAAAGGCAAGCTACTGTTATTTCTATCATATCCTCCCATTAATAATCATACTTCACCACAAATGTTTATACTAAGTATTTTTAAATATCTAATACAAATTTTTCCTTAATAACAGAAAATGAAACAATATGTATATAGATATAAAAAAGTATGTTTTGCCAATAGGTAAATTGAAAACAAATGTAAAACATCACAATTTATTATTCTCACATTTAGAGAACAATAGAGTACTATGATCTTATTCTTAAATACTAACCCAAGGTTTTTTCCAATCACATTTAACTAGTTAAATTTAAACTGCCACTCTCAACTATGATTATATACATATTTGACAGGACAGGATGACTTGAAAATTAAAATACATGTATGGTTAATTTTCCAGTGAAAAGTACCCCTAAGATTGGCCGTTCATCTAAAAAACCTAAAAACTTCGAAAGTCAAGTTTTCATGAGTCATGATACGTGGCGAAATCAAGCAATCAGAAACATTTATTTATTAAATGCCTATTCTACTAAAAAACAAAACAAAACAAAAAAACAACTTCAAAAGATTCTAGAAGCTTATTTAAGAAAAAATCTGAAAAAATAATAAGTACAAATAAATACAGTATATGAAAACTAGAGATTATCTTAGCAATTCTATACAGAGCTTTGAATTTGAATGACAGAATTTTCAGAGAGAAGTTCATCGTCCAAACAGGAACCAGGGTAAGGGGAAGAAGATAAAGCAGGTGGGTTTTCTTCACTAGAGTGGAAAGGAATCCAGAGATGTGAAGGAAGGACCTGGGGAGCTTGCTGCTAAATGTGTTGAACAGGACAGTTTGACAGTATTTGGTGAACTGACTCAAGTCCCTAAAATTGACACATGGCGGGCTATTAAAGCAGTTGGGCAAATGAACCAGAAGAGAAAATAGGGTGAGAAGATAACTAACCATGGTCTCAAAGATGCTGAAACAGCCTTAGCTTTCGCCCAGACATTCACAGTTGAAGAAGCTAAGGCCCATTAGGATTAAGTGATTTGTCAAAAGCTCACACACCAAGTTACTTAACACCCTGTTCAGACTCTTTCCATGACACCTATTTTAGAGGGAGATAGAATCTTTAACTTTTACGTAATGCTAAATTTATTTGTAAAATTAAGATTGCAAAATTAATACGAAGCATTAACATTTAAAATAGACTGATACTTAACTGAAGAGAAAGAGAAAAATACACTAGCTGAGTAACTTTAAGAACATCAACTTTTTGTTTTCTAAAAGCCCTTAAAAAATTTAAGTAATAACATGAGACAGAATACTAGTGATTAAATTAGATCTAAACTAATCTTTGAATTATTTGGTATGTTAGTATTCATAACATTAATCTTTAAGAACTACGTTCAACTGTTATTTTATTCTGTGAAGACCAGTAGTCTTTCAAGATAATCTAGTAATAACTTTAGATAATGCTAAAGAAAGGTTTTCCTCTGCTTCTTTTAAATGTTCACATAGTCCTCCTTGACTAATTAATCTGAGAGCAGCACAGAAGGTGGAGTCCTCATGAAGAATAAGCCATAATCCAAAAATCACCATTAGCCCTTTCTTTTCATTTATCAGTGAAAAAGAATCATGTTCAAAAAGGCCTCAAGTCCCAAATTCAGAAGGATAGTTCTAACTAGAGGGAGAGGAAGTTCTTTTCCTAGTTCAACATAATATCTGTCTTGACCCAGTACACATTTTCCATAAAAAATAACCTTATAAATGAAAGGCTGGTTTTCTACAACACTTCACAAAGTCCTCTGGCCCCCAAAATAGTTCAAATATCATATAATTATGTTCAGATACATTATTGGTTAACTCTTCTAGTCACTCCTGAATATATGACCACCATTTTTAATACTATTCTTCTGGGAAACTGAATGTCAATTTTCACATAAACATGAAATGCTAATTAAGCCAATAAATGTTGGAAATAAATTTTAAATATAGCATATTTGTAAATTGAAAACTGCAATTTAAGTTTTGATGTCGGTGACATCTTGTGGACATGAAAAGTTTTGCTGATGTAAGATATACTTGTATATAGTGTGAAACAAAAATACGATTCAGTCTTTAAAATGTAAATTTCTAATTTGATTGAAAAGCTATTTTCCTTTCCTGACTGGCAGCCACAAAAGCTCTGGTGTTCTCGTAGAATGTTTACTCTCCAGTACTTTAGGAATACTTTTGCAATAATGGCCCACTTGTAAGGAAGCAGAACTTTACTTCAGTGGACAGATAAGCGCTATACTTTAAGAAGGAAATTAGGTGCATATTGCTCATTCTACTTTCCCCCCAATTTTATATCATTTGCATTTCTACAAAGACAACCTAAGAGATCTTATTTATCACCTTGTTGATATCGTTGCTAAGGAAAAAGCAGATTAGCAGGGAATCAGTGTAAGTGGCTAAGACTCAGCATACGGGAGTGGAGTGCGTGATTTCCGTTATGAGGAAACAACTGCTTGGGCTCTAGTCCGTTCTATAATATAGCTGAGTGACAGTGAGAAAGCCATTTTATTCTTCTGATTTTAGTTTTCTCATCTATCAATGAGGCAGTTAAACAAAATATCTAAAGCTCTAAGGAATTAAACAACTGTATGAACTGGTAATTCTATGACTATAGCATTCTGCTGGTCTGCCAAAAAAAAAAAAAAAGAGGGGGGTATTTTCAAAGTAAAGAGATATAATTAGTCAAGCATAAGTCTGCTGGTCACTATTTACTTTCAAAGTACAGTTAACCCTCATTATTCATGGATTCCATACTGCGATTAGCCTCCTCTAAAATTGATTTGTGACCCCAGATCGATACTAGCAGTGCTTTGCCAGCCGTTCACGGACATGCACAGAATGGTAAAAAGTTTGAGTAAATGCACATGGTTCCAGCTGAGGCTGAACAAAGTGATGCTCTGTCTTCTTGTGTCAGCTCTTGTGCTATAAACAAGTGTCCTTTGGTGGCCTATGCAGCACCAGGTTTCTTGGCAGTTTGTGGTTTCAATGAGTGACTTCCCTGTTTAAAACCCAAGCCTAATGCTGAAGTGCTGTATAGTGTACTTAAGAAGGCTGAAATGTGTCCTACAGGGAAAATGTTGTATAAGCTTCGTGCAGGCATGAGTTATAGTGCTGTTGGCCATGAGTTCAATGTTAAAGACCCAACTACACACACACACACACACACACACACACACACACACAAAGGTGTCCTAAACAGAAACACATAGAAAACGAGGCTATGTAGTGATTGGTTGATGAAAATGTGACCAGAGGCTCACAGGAAACCAACTCAGTATTTCTCCTAGAAGCAATGGTTCGTGTTCATTAATGCAGCATTCACAGCAACTTTAAAGAGAATAACTATAGTGAATAATGAGAACTGACTGTGCTCATAAAACACCTGTTTAAAAGTGTCATTCCACAAGGTATTCCTGACAAGCATCTCTTGTTGACCAGACATTTTACTAAGTGTTTGAAAAACAAAGAATAACATGACAAAATCCTTAGGTTCATATTCTATACTGACAGATTTCACAGGGGATGGCCTTATTTTGATACCTTACTGAAATTTTCATTAAGTAAAGAAAAAAGGTTAGAGCAGCAAGTATAAGAAATGGGGGAAATCATAAATCCTTGCTCTTGCCCCAAACCATCTGTAATACTCTTCCTCCTAGCTCCCCAGATTCAAAAAACTAACTTAGCTTAAATGCCAGGGCCCCGGTTAAAAGCAATTTCTTCATTCTCAAACTGGGATTTGGGAATGTATGCATTGACCAAGTTGACTATTTGGAAGTGCTGAAAAGGCTGCATGAAAAAGTTAGATGACCTGAACATTTCACCAACAATTCATGGCTCTTGCATCATGACAATGCACCAGCTCACACGACACTGTCTGTGAGGGAGTTTTTAGCCAGTAAACAAATAACTGTATTGGAACACCCTCCCTACTCACCTGATCTGGACCCCAATGACTTCTTTCTTTACCCGAAGATAAAGGAAATAGTGAAAGGAAGACATTTTGATGACATTCAGGACATCAAGGGTAACACGATGACAGCTCTGATGGCCATTCCAGAAAAAGAGTTCCAAAATTGCTTTGAAAGGTGGACTAGGTGAACAAAGAGGAGTCCGGGTCACAGAGGAAGCAAAGCTTCTAAACTAGAGCAACTAAGTGAAAAGAGATGTTAATAACTGAGATGGGACAAACTGGAAGCAACAGGTTGGTTTGGATGGGGGAAGTCACAAAGTAAGTCATCTCCAAATGGACTTATTCTAGTGGAGATGGCTACTAGGCACCCAAGATGTTCTTCTGAGTAGAAATGTGCCTGTGAGTCTGGAATACAGGGAAAGGGTCAAAACTGGTGATATAAATTTGGGAGCTATTAGCATAGATTAGAGAAATAAGACTGAATGTGATCCCGTAAGGAATGTGAAGAGGTCCAAGGACTGGGCTCAGGGGTATTCACAATTTTTTTTTTTTAAGATTTTTATTGGGGAATTGGGGGGATGGGAACAGTGCTGGGTGATTGGGGAAGGGGAACAGACAAGTCGCTGTCGTTTTGTTCTTCAGTCTAGTTGTGGAGGACGTTGCTTCACTGGCCTAAGTTGGCATCATCATTACGCTCTTCCCGGGCAAGGCAGATCAGTCGCCGGCTTCTGGACGGCTGCTCACTGCGGCTGCTGGCCACTCACGCTGGCTGCTGGCTACACACGGTAGCCCATGGCAACCCACTGCCACAGGGGCTGCAGCCTACGCCGTTGCCGGCGATTCATGGCAGCCCAGCTCCAGGTTGAGCTGTTGTTCAGCATCTTAGCTGTGCAGGGCAGTGTCACTGGCCCTCATATGTGTGATCCGAACCGGGGCCCTCTGGCATCCCAAGCGAGTTCTTAACCATCGCGCCACTCGGCCGGCCGGGTACTCACAATTTTTAATGAGAGAAAAGTGATTGGGAGTTTATAAAGCTGAAAAGAGCAAAGGGACTGAGAAAGACGAGTTAGAGAGAGGGGAAGAAACAGGAAGAATGGCATCCTGAAAATAAGTGAAGAATGTGTTTTGTTTTGTTTTTTTAATATAAAAATGTGACTTTCTGGCATTTTATTCAGTATTTAGCATTTTGTTGTTTGCTGTCTAAGATGTGGGTTTTTCTTTTCATATGAGTTCCCCAGACATTGGAAACTTACCCCTATAATTTTCAAATGTTCTTTGAATATAAGGTTTTTGTGTTTTTTTTAAAGTGTAAAATGTGATGATTTTTATTTATTTATTTTTATTGACTTTTTTCTTCTTTTTTATTATTAGTTTGAGGTGTACAAAACAATGTAAATTATACATTTCACCCCTCATAAAGTGATAACCCCCCTCTCCCAATCTATTGCCCCTCTGAAGAATGTGTTTTAAGAAGAAAGTTCTCTACATGAAAATTAGTCCAGATTCTTCAAAAGGTTAATGGCAAGAAAAAAATAAGACAAGGATTGTACTAGATTAAAAGACTCTAAAAGAATGTAACTAAAGGCAATCATAAACTTTGGCTGGATCCTACTTCAAAAAGGTAATAGCTAAAAAAAATTCTTGGGAGTACTAGGAAAATTTGAAAATGCATTGCACATTGAACTGTATAATTAAATTGTTGTTTATTACCTTAGATGAAATAATGGCATTTTGGGTGAATAGGAAGATATCTTTATTCCTAGGAGACATATGCTAAAGTATTTGGGGGAAATAATAATATCTTCGACTTAATTACAAATGATTGAATAAAAAAATACATGACAGGGCCGGCCGAGTGGCTCAGTTGGTTAAGAGCTCGTTCAAGAGTGCGAACTCTGAACAAAAGGGTTGCTGGTTGGATTCCCAGCCCGAGCTGAGCTGCCGCTGAGCTGCCAACAGGTGGCAGGATGGCTCAGCTAGAAAAAAAAAATATGATAAAATGTTGATAACTGTGTAATCCAAGTGAAGGGTATAAAATAATTCACTGTACTATTCACTGAGCATTTCTGAAAATGTGAACACTTTCATAATGAAAGTTAAAAAAATTGTAAAAAATAACCTGCTAAAAAAAATGGGCCAAGTCATGCGTAGACACACAGAAGAGGAAATGACAAAAGGCCAATAAATAAATGAAGCAGAGGTAACTCCATTTGTAATCAGGAAAATGCAAATTAAAACCAGAAAGAGAGCATTTCACATCTATCAGAGTAGTCAAAAGTAAAAAGAATGAAAATATTAAGTGTTACTGAAGAAGACAAGGCGTGATGGAAACTCTTACAAGCTATTGGCAGGAGAGGACATCGGCAAAGAGACTAACTAGCTTCCCACGCACCTTTGAATCCAGTAATTTCTGTCTCATTGAGAACTCAGAGAAAGTCTCTACCGGGGAAAAGGTACAAGAATGTGCATAGCAATGTTGTTTGTTGTTTGTAATGGCAAAAATAACTGAAACAATCCAAATGCTGAGGGCATGGGTATTCAGTTCATTATTATTACTATTGTTAACGTTCTTTAAAATAATCCATCTATCTATCTATCTATCTATCTATCTATCTCTTTGTGTATTTCATGTTATAAAATATAAAGTTAAAACTGTGATTAACTGCAACAAATGTTGACAGGTTAAGCAAGATGAAGAATAAGAACTGACACTGGACCCAGCAGATGGACACTGATATTAGTGTGAAGTCAATTAAAACTACCTATAATAAGCAGAAGTCTTCTAGTACAAAAATAACTTTTTGTTTTGTTTTGGAAAAAAGATACACAAAAGCAAATCTATTAATTCAAAACAGTGAAAAGTACTCTCCATGCCTAGCTAGCTCTATATATCTTCCTGAGGGAAAGGGCCTTTAGAAGAGAGGACAAGCTTATTTGTTCATTTTCAAAACCTGTCTATTGAAATGCACATTGCCATGTGGAGTAACATATATAAGAGTGAACATTTACAGTCCAAATCAGGATATTTCTGAGAGCGAATGGAGGGGCTACTGATAATTTTGTTGGGACAATGGTGTAAAATGGGGTTGTCCCAGGCAAACTGGTCTGTATGGTTTTCCTATGAATAATCTTACTTCATTTTAGTGACCTAGTAGAGTTTTTGTAAGAATGGCATAAGGGATCCTCCGGAAAAAAAGAGGTCCTTAAAAGCGGCCTAGTCAAAGTCAGACTTCTTCAAGATTCTATCTGGCATGTAAATTGTGGTTACTAATGACAGGTCTAAAATGATACTCACTCAGTTGATGGTACACAGGTTTATGCAATCCTTGAAGTCTGACTGATGCCATAGCAGCAAGTTTGCCGGGGGGCTGCATTTTCCCGTCTAAAAGATACCAAACTCGAGCAAAAGTGGCCCATTGCTTGAAAAAAACAGAAGAGGAAACAAAGAAAATTCTAATTAAAATAGAAACAATTGAGTTTATTATTATATACCATCACATGTATTCTATAGTTAATGTCAATAATAACTTTGAGAAATGATCCTATCATTAATCAACTTTTTTGTTTTGTTTTTATTTCTATTTCTGGAAAGGGGGGAGGCCTTTTCTCATTAATCTGCAAAGATTACACGATGATTTTTCCTGCCTGCTTTTCTATTATCAGTATGGATCATGCTTTACTAAAAACATTCCAAAGATATATTCCCTTTTATTGGGTTGTCGGAAAAGTCACGATGTATTTTTCTATGTTTTTCATTGCAAAAATGCATCATGACTTTCCCGACAACCCATTACATTATGACTTATATTTTTTTGTATCACAATAGAATAGAATCTGAAGGGGTATTGAGAAGCATTTATGAAAGGAGTTGTTGTTTATGAAGTTCTTCAAAAATGTTTTGAGATTAGTTGACACATTACATTGCAAGATGAGTGGCCAATTAGGAAATGAAGACTATTCAGGAGTTTAATTCTAAAGGAGAGTTCAATTGCAGAATATAGCTGGGAAAGTATAGACGGATGATGTTAAACAAACTTAAATTTTAAAAAACTGCGTTAAACAGACACCTTTAGGCTGCCTCAGGTATAGGTCACTGCCCTGTGGTATCCATCAGTGCCTTCAAACTCAAAGGAACTTACAGCCCAGAAAAATCTTGACCAGATAGATGCTTTCTCTATGCATATATATGAGCAGCTAAACAATGATGGAAAAAAATACAACTAGGCTAGCTCTTTTTAAATTTAATTACAACAAAACTCAAATCAGCCTATAAAACTGCTTACCAATTCTGTTTTATTCCTGTTCTCATTTTTTTTAAGTCTCTGTTTAGTTCCCTTTGCACATCTTTTGTCAGATTTATCCTTATTTTATTTATATATTTGAGGACATTATAAATGATACTGCATTTTTAATTTAAATTTCTGATTGTTTGTTGCTAGTATATAGAAATACATCTCATTTTTGTATATATTGGTCTTGTATCCTGCAATCTTGCTAAACTTATTTATCAGTTCTAGTAGTTTTTTGTAGATTCTGATTTTTTACATAGATGATCATGTCTTATGCAAATAAGGATAGTTTATAGCCCATATCCTTTCCCTACTGCTCTAAGTTTATGAACTAATAAAAAAATTCAAACAGCGAGAACTCTCCAGGATAACCCTGTTTCTTCAATAAATTTCAAGATAGAAAAGATAGGACTTGGAACCTATTAAGAGAGACTTAAAAAAAACATAGCAACTTGCTGCATTTTGGATCCTAATTCAAAGGAACAAATGGTAAAAAATTATGTATTTATATAATATAGATATATGAGAAATTGGAAATGTGAACACATACTGGATATTTGATGATTAAGGAATTGCAGTTTTTTTCATTTAGCTTTGATAAATGGTACTGTAATCTTATTTTTTTAAAAATCCTTATCTTAGAGAGAACATATTGAAATATTTACTGATGAGATAATGAGTCAGAGATTTACCGTATAAGGAAGAGAATGAAGTGAATGGGGGGTACAGATGAAATGATATTGGCTATGGGTTTTCTGAAACTGAGTGATATCTACTTATATATGACTATAATTCTCCATAATAAAGTTAAAAAAAAAAAAAAGCAATTCCAGGTCTTACTTCTCCACCAGCCACTGCTTCATTTCTTTCCTTTCTAGCAAAACTCTTCCAAAGAGTTGTCATTGCTCCAATGTGTCTCTCTCCCCATTCTCTTTTCAACCTACTGCCTCCTCCAAACTGGCCTTTGTCATCTGACATCCATCAGCATGGCTCTACAGCCTGTCAAAATTACCGTGACCTTCATGGTACTAAATCTATCGGTCAATTCTAAGTTGATCATTCCTCTCTCCTGGGTATTCTTTCTTCACCTGATTTCCAGGACACCACCCTGTGTTGTTGTTTTTTTTTCCCCCTACCTTGCTAGCTCTCCCCTTATCTCTAGCCTCTAAAATGTTGAAATGTCTCAGAATTCAGTTCTTGGTCCTCACTTCTCTACATTCACTTCCTCAAAGACTTCATCCAGACCCATACCTTTAAATGCTATTTGTATGCTCATGACTCCCAAACTTACATCTCTAGCCTGGATCTCCTGAACTCTACACTTAAATCCAATTGCCCTCTCAACATCTACACTACACTGCTTCTTAAACCATATGTAACAAAAGACTAGTTCTAGTTAATTCCCCAATGTACTGCAGACCAATACTTTTATAGGGGGAAAAAAAAAACTTAGCTAAAAAATTTAAAATTCTGCCACAATGCCACATTGTTACAAAATGTTTAAAATTAATTTCAATTCCTGTCTTTACCTAATGAGACAGGTAACAAACAGTCTAAGGAAGGAATCACACTTGGAAAGGAACTGGGTGGGCTAAGAGGCATCTTAAACGGACATACACAAAACTGAAAGGCTCTTCCACTCGAATCCTGCTTCAATCGCAGTTTTCCCCATCTCGGATGACAGCACACCATTCCAGTGGTTGAAACAAAAACCTAGGAGTAATCCTTGTTTCTTCTTTTGCTATCGTCCCACATGCAACCCTTAAGGCAATCCTATTGGCTCCACCTTTAAATAGAACCTGTTTATATTATAAACAGAACCACGGTGCTCCTTACCCCGGTCTGCGCCACCATCACGGCTAGCCTGGATTACTGCAATAACCTCCGAACGAACTCTTATCTTCTACCGCCACCAATCCCGATCTCCAAACAGTCTATTTTTAATTCAGCAGCCACGGTGCTCCCCTTTACCAGTTAAGTGAGATCATGGTTTCTTGGCTCGAAAACCTCCAACAGGTCCTCATTCTACTCAGTAAAAATCAAATTCTTACAACGATCTACAAGGACCTATATGTGATCCACCTTATTACTTCTCCGATCTTCTAATACTCTTTCCGGGGGAATTGGGGGTGGGGGTGGGTGGAAGGTGGGGAAGATGAACAGAGCTGACTAAAAAAAAGAAGGGGACAAGTCCAGAGAGAATGGCAGCAAGTGGTGGCCAGAATCACGACCCCCTTGTTTGTGCTTTCCTGAGGCACCGCCGGGCCCTAGGATTGAGCTTTCCTGCCGACTCAGCTTTCCTAACCCTCCCCCCGGAGCCATTAACCTCCTTCTGCCAGTGTAATGAATCCCATCAAGCAAGAGTCCGAGCTCACCTGAGGCGCTCTCGAGAAACTCGACATGTTTCTCCACTAGCAGGACCGTCCTCCTTTCTCCGGTATCTCAGTCCAGTCCGCAGCATCACTGGCCCGGCGGGAAACGCATACAACCAAGCATGACAGTTCCTAGGCCGGCCAGCACTTGTCTGCCTCTTCGCTTTTCCTGGGACCCCAAACAATCTCCCCCACGGGCGCGATTTCGTCTTGAAGAAGGAAATAATGCAGCTATTGAGAGAATAACTCCCCAAGTTCACCCTGTTGCTAGAAAAGCTGCGGAAAACCAGCGGAGGACACACAGTTTCCAGCCGACCTAAGTAGAAGGGAACCGGAAGTGCATCGGCAGCGCGCGGCTGTTTTGATGTGGAATTCCAGACCTGAGGCTGGGGCTCGGAGGAGATGGATCGGTACCTGCTCCTTGTGATCTGTGGGGAAGGAAAAGTCTCGTCCGCGGCGGGTGGGGAGGCGGAGCACCGGCCAGGGGCGTCCTTTGAGGGTGCGGAGAAGCAGCCAGGTAAGTGCTGGGCTGAGAAAGCGGGAACGCTTGCGGGGAGGAGAAGAAATTTGAGTTTGTGAACTACAGTAGTTCTGCTGGGGAGGGACCTATATCGAGTTGTCCCGGGAAGCTGTGACTCTGGCTGGGATCGACTTGATAAGGGTTGAAATGTATCATGATCTTTGTTGAAAAACAGAGACACATTTGT